CTATTTTTGAAGTTGTGGTGGTTGACGTGCCCGAGACAGTGGTAGATGTGGTAATGACCAAAATGCCAGAGTCAGTGCTCAAAGAATCGAGTGATTGGGTGACGGCATACTCACCAGTGTCATATTTTTGGTAGCAGTGGGTGTCATGAATCCACACCCACGCCACACCTCGGCCACGATTAGGCCAATACTTACACTACTTAGTGGGAAAGCATCTACTTTGGGCAGCTTCGGTCCTGATTGAGCAACATGATGTTGCGAAGTACACTTTAAAACTCAATTTTACATTGCGGTTTCCAAAGCAGGCCATTCTCATTCGAACACACTGCGCCCCCTATATGCAGCATGCCACATGGAGGATTGTCAGCACTCTTAGAGGTGCAAATATCGCAGCACTCTTGAGGTCCTGCAACTGGCCTCAGTTCTGCTCCACGGCAATGGCACCAATGGAGCCGAATGAAAAAATGGGATGAACACCCGATGGCAGCCAAGCTGCCATTCCACAGTCTCTTGGCCAGTCCAACCAACGTTGCTGTTGGCCACGAAGCCGCACATGTCTTCGGCTGTCCTCATTCTAGGCCGATTTGTCGTCAGCTTGGAGTTCACAACTTTGCTCATGTCAGATTGTCACGCAATGTGAGCCATGGGCCATGGCAAGGACCTAACTACAGCCGGTGATTGCAATGGTTTCCCCTGCGGCGCTCATGGTCTCTTTTCCTGAGGAGCCTAGAGAGGCCATGTCCGTGAGCTAAGTCACGTGTGTGATCGCTACACATGTGCAGAGTAGGGCTATTTAGCCCGTTCCAGCGCCATCACACACGGTCCACTCAGTGGGCACGGGGGTCGCTTGCGCATCGGGGGTCGCTTACGCATTGGAGCGGTCACTTACACATCGAAAAACTGGGTCACCTACGCATCGACGGCCATAACATCACATCTTACGTCCATGCGCAGCCGACACACGTCAGCAAATTAAAGTTGACCCTCCAGATGAGCACCCTTTGAGGTCACCCTCGCTAGTCTTTTTTTGTTTCCAATTTTGAAATTGTTTTGACCATAGTTAGTCATATTTAAACATAAAATTGTCACAAATAAGAATAAAAATGATGAGGAACTACTCAAATACGAGTAAAAATGGCACAAATATGATTAGAACTGATTTTGAACAAAATTCAACCAAAAGTGTTTTCACGAGCAAGTCCGAGTGGAGCCACGGGTGAAGTTGCAGTGAACTTGCAAACAAAATGAAAGTTCAACATTTCCTTTTTACGATAAGTTGACGAGTCGAGCGACAAGTCAACTTACAAAACACAATGAAGGAACCAAGTACAAACGGTTCCTTTAATTACGATAATCGACGAGGCCAGGAGCACTGTGCTGTCAGGGATTGTAACAAGTTACTTGCTACAATCCCTGACAGCACAGTGCTCCTGGCCTCGTTGAAAGTTTTTGAAACTAGTAAGTTTTGGCTGAAGAGCTCTGCGCTGGCAGGGATTGTGACAAAGTAAGGTTATTGAAACTAGTCAAGTATTGGCCGAAGGCATTGAGTATTCTTTTTGAAAGTAGTCAAGTTTTGGCTGTGCTGGCAGGGATTGTAAGATTTTTGAATAGCAACTAGCATTTTTTTCGCTGAGCTATACATTCCAACCTTTGCAAACAACAAGCTCAGTCAAATTTCAGTAGGGCTCCATTTTTGGTCTAGGTTAAAATTGAACAATACGTGACAAGACATTCAGAACAATCAGCATCAACCTCATCAAACAAGTCATGGCCATCCATTGTTGATCTTCATGATGATTCACTTGGCTGGCACGTGCGAAGTGCACTGCTATTCAGTCTACTGTGCTGCAAGCCTGAGTCCCATGACATGGAATCGTAGCAATCAAAACATGCCTGAAAATATCAAGGAATGTCGCAGGCCGCAAACACCCTTTTTTATCAAAAAGCAATGTTCAAAGCGATCGCTCACAATTAACTATGCCAACTTGCCCAACAACTTTTGGCGGGCACCATGTGAAGACCCTGATTCAAAATTCATATAGAGCAAAGTATTGCAGTCGAGTGGTGACAAGTTGTAATACACATCACTTGGGCTGACACATTTTGAGCGCCGTGTAACGTAGCAAACTTTCAATCCGCCCTCCACATGCTTGCATTGACCTGTGACATGGAACTTGCGCGCAGTTTCCGTGATTTAAAAACAAGTTCACATAATTGACGCCAGGCTCTTTCAATGCCAGGGTCTGACTCAGTGCCCCAATGTGATGATGACATATCAGAATCATAGGAATGTCCTAGGAATGCAGCTTTCAGAGTCATCATCACCAGACAACTGCACTTTGCCAACAGCACTCATATTCAAACACCAAACCACAGCACACAGTTCATTGTTCAAGCCAAAAACCATTGTGGCATTACTCTTGCGCGCGAAGCGCGCCGAACAAAAAGAACTCCATCACACGCGTTTATGTCTTCATTTGATTCATACTTTGATCATTACTATTCCTCTTCCGTGCGGAGCGCGGAGAATGTTTTTTGGCTCATCTTGAGACCAGAGGCACCGCTGGGCCACCCAGCAGGGCTGTCTTGGTGTCACGATGGTGGCACCGAGGTGTTTTTTAGTGCCAAATCAGCTCAAATCAATTTGACATCAGTTTTTATCTTATTTGTGCACTTTTTTGACACAAAGAAGATAAAAGCTGATGTGTCCTCAGAATTCATCACCAAACTGGAGTGCATACAGGTGACACAAAAATGCAACAAGCTGACATTTGCAAATTCACACAAGTGACACAAAAGTGCGAAAAATGCAACCCCAGCTCCGGAAAAATAAAATGGCGCGGCGCCCATCAGCAACAGCACTGCCCCCGTCATCAACAGCTGCGGCGCGGGGCAACATCAGGAACAGCTCGCATCAACAACCGTGGCACTGTGCCCTTCAGCAACCTAGCAGCCGCTGCCTTTCGAACAGGAACTGCTCTTGCTGGGGTTGGCGCGCCATGCGAAAGGATCGATGCGTTATTGATCACTGGTGGTCTTACTCGGGCTTTTCCCCTGGGGGCGCAGGCGAACCATCACCCAGTCATCTGACCAGCCCGCTTCAATAGCAAATGAATTGGTCTCCAAATCTTGCATCTCGTGAAATCTTACTTACACAGCGCCCTTCAGCAACAGCAACTAAGAATGCAAATTGTGACAGTCTGTCAGCTTGCATTTAGTTCAAAGTTAGTTCTTGCGCCTACCATGTCAAGTGACCCATGAATCAATGAACGTCAGTCCGCGAAGGTTCCACCGCCCAAAGGTTTATTAGTTGGTTATAAAACCCAAACTTGTAACATGTTCTTCTAAAAACAAATTAAAGTATCAGTGGTAGTATACTCTCAAATCCTAAAAAACACTAATAGCAAAATGAGGATGGCAATGAAACGCTGACTTTCAAACACAATAAATTAAAGCATTTACTTGTCAGCCTGTTAATGAACCTCACGTTCAGATACAAAAGTGACAAATAAATACACTTGTTGCATTTTCAAATCATTTTAAATAACTTTTTTGCACCTTCAAAGCAAACAAATGCACAAATAAGATCTATATATATGCTTCAAATAAGATTAAACATGATTCAAAAGTGGTTCAATGATGTTCAATGTGATTTTAGTTTTCCTGTGAACAAGGGTGACCTGGAGAAGGGTGCCCATCTGGAGGGTCAACTTTGTTTTGGGGACACACGAATCTCTATCATCTGAGCGTTGCCACTCCTCTGTGATCTAAGGCTTGCATCTGTGTGGGGTGGAGTGGGTGGGCGAGTGGGGTGGGGTCTAATAGAATGATTGACCCAAGGCCGCATCATCACATCTACCGCGCGCAGCCGACACACACAGTTCTCTATGATCCAAGGATATGCCATTTCTCTGTGATCTAGGGCGCGGAAGATCAATCCCGGCGGATGCCTCCCAGGTGCCTTTGCGCCAGTGATGTTTAGCTTGGTTTATTCCAAGCCGTCCGAGGCAAAGTGTCTTCGTGATTCACGATGGTGTTCGCTGTCTCCTCCAGCATAGGCTTCAGCTCCTCCACAATGCTGCTGATCATTGGTTCGGTGTGGGTTCAAGTGGACATGTTTCAGCTGGGCCACAAAGCTCCTCAAGGCATCAATCTTTTCCTTTTTCTGGCTCGCGTGAGTGGGATTGTGCTTTGCTACTTCTGCTTATTATGTTGTTGGTCGTGGCAGCAAATCGATGGCTGTTACTGTTCTCTTGAGATCACCATTTCTCGCAACACCGCCAAGAACATCCAGCCAGCAACGAGGGGGAGAAGGCCATTGTTGCGGGTGCAGCAAGAGGAGGACATGCAGTAAGCCTGGCAGAAGGTGGGTTTAGAGCAACCGCAAGACGATATTTTGACGCTGGCGAGTCAAAAAGGAGATCTGAGGGAAGCTCATGAATGTGACGTGACACATTCCGCAAAGGCACCTGAAAGTGAGATTGCTCGAGCAAGCGGAGAAGAAGAGGAGAAGTTAGCAGAGCGGGCACTTGAGCGACCTGTGGTTGTCGCCCTTGAGTCGAAGTGCAATCTTCCGCCCGCCCAGGATGTCCATTGCATTGCCTGCGGCTACCTTCAGCTTCACCGTGCTCTAAGCATCAAACCCTCCGCCGCCAATGTCTTCATCTGAACCCGTGCCGTACATGATGAACTTGTCCGGGGCACCACTTCTCAGCCAACGCCGATCATGTCATCCTCATCCTCACTCCATCGAGGTCTTTCTGGTTTGTACGGATGGGGTCTTTTGCATGCTTTACCTTCTTCTTTCTCAACTGACTTGCGTCGCTCTGTGCACCCTCTTCAAATTTCTCCATGGGCACATCATGCACATCTGTTTCAGCAGACTTTAACGGCTCAGTTTTCATCCAGGTCTCTCAACCTCAACCTCCTTGCGCAGGCTCGTCCTGAAGCGATACTGTGGTATGGTGCCAGTCCTCCTGCGCTGCTCTTCAAACTGGATTGATCAACTGCGCCTGAAGTTGCCAGATTGATCTCGTTCTCGAGTGTGGTATTCGGCTTTTGGCTCCATTTCCCACAATCGCCGCAATGGCTTTCAATCTTCTTCTTCTCTCCGAGCTTTGTTTTGCTCCTTTCTTGTCCTTGTGTTTTGCTAGATTCTTTTCCTTCCTTTCCGTGCGTTATTCCCTTTGCCTATATCAACATTGCCCACGTCGGTTGGCTGCGGTCCTCCTGACTTGCTTGTGAGGCCTTCTGCGTCAAGTGCTTGACCACTCTGCGCTTGCAACCTTTGATGAATCGTTGAGCACTTCATATTGCTGCATGGTTGAGCGCGACCACTGCGCACTTTGTTGCTGAGGTGAAGTCATTCAGTGATTCACGATTTCAGTCTCCTTCACCTGGGTCCAGTTTGGACTGATGGTGACTGATGGTGCCCATCAACATGGTCATGCGTCGACCATGCACATTTGGGTGGTAGCCAGGCATGCAGCCCTGCCATTCTCTGGCTCAGACCGCTGAGCATCAGATCGCTGGCCATGTCAGCTGCCTCTGATCTGCGCTGGATTCTGGAAGTTGAAGTAGGATGTGGCCACAAACTTCCACTTCACCAAGTCGTCTTCTTTGCCTGCGAAGGAGTGGGTCTGCCACAGGCGCATGCCGAGCGCAAAAAAGAAGTTCAGAGCCTGCCGTGGCTCCAAGGTGCGCAGGGTTTGTTTGACCTCTGTCTTCCAGTCATCAATCGAACAAGATTTCTTGAATACCAGAGTAGTAAGCATGAAGGAACTTCCGTTTGACACCGCTGTTTCGAGCACTGTTGTTGAAGACTCTCTCTTCTCGCGTATGTCCAAGGCCATCGCGCAGGTTTCCAACACCTGTGAGCTCGATATGATTTCACAAAATTAATTATGATGACCAGAGAGTTCAGGATATTGCTCAAGGATGCTCCTTCCTTCGTTTAAAGTTTTTGCCGCACTATTCTTTAGACCAGTGTTATGTCTACCGGAACACACTTGGTACTAACAAGAGTCTAGTGTCGCCTTTCCGTGCTTTTTGCATGGCATAAGGATTCACGGAATCGTGTTTATGCTCTGACCGTCTGACCGCGTCAGCATGTCACTACAATGGTTTTCATCCCTCTGGATGGACTGCCTGCCCCTGCCCGGCTAGGTGGACTTACTTCCAAGTGCGGCTCCGCAACCATGCAGCGGAGTGCTCTGCGCGGCTGACCCTCTCTTGTCCTGAGAAGCCTAGAAAGGCTGCATGTTCACGAGCTATGTCATGCGCGTGATCTGAACATGTACGGCACCGCAGTTTTCTCTTAACCAGTGAACTGGGAAAACCATAAACCATGAACTGGGAATATCAACCTCAAACAGCCATTGTATGCGTAAAGAGGATGGGATAAGGGTATGGCCGGCATGGCATTCATGTCCCATTTCTTCACATTCAAGAAGCCGATTTGGATCCAGGGCCATGGTCGCAAGCACGTTTAGAAGGAGTTGCCAAGTGGTCCGTCGATGGTGCCATGGCATGGGTTGTTTGGAGTGAAGCTGGATTTGTGATGTCACTGTGACTTGTTGGCATCAGAATGACCATAGCTGCCATAGCCAGTTGACCCGCAAATGACAATTCCACACATGCAACGGTTGGTGAATGGAGCGGGACTTCAATCATCCAGTTTGAGATAGATCCCCTATAAATGGGTGTGTAACCCACAGTAAACCACCATTTACTAGGGGTTCATTCCGGCCACGTTGAGCCGCAAAGACCTACAACTCATGGGCGACAATGAAACTGCGCTGTGACGGATGTCTTTGAACCAACATGTGCCAAGTCACGAAAATGCAACCAGTATGCAGCAAAATGACATGTTGATGCGGCCGGTGAAGGAATGACGGACGAGACATGTGGAACATAGAAGTATCCCAATGGCACCATCTAGTTGAGGTGGTCATTTTCAGTGGGGAAGCTGTTTTGGGATCCTGCCGAAAATGAGTCGTGATGATTGGCTGGCACAGCAGGTGCACTGATCCACAGGTGGTCCCTTCAAAACCGCATTCCCTGCTTCCCATCGCATAAAGACCACTTTCTGCACTGCGCTAGCATCTATGCGCTAGCATCTCTCCGGTGGCCACCTGATTGAAAGGCTTTGAAAGGTCAAAGCCAAACATTTTGGAAGTAATTAGTAGAACTAAGTATAGCACACAAATAATTAGCGGTGCAGGGGTGTGAATAGAGAAGGCAAGCAAAAGCCAAAGAAGGCCAGAAGACCTTGAATATCCTTATGAACCTAAAGACAGTGCTCTGTAGAAACCTTGGTTGGAAAAGGCTGGCATTCCAAGACAGTAGCGGGTTAGATTTGTCGAAGGAATAGTGGCCAGCAAAAGCTTCAATATCACAATATCGGCCCTTGGCTTTCACTAAAATCTAACAGCTGCAAACAAACTAGACGACAGGGTGGCCCAGAAGCACAGTAAGAAATGACACAAGGTAAGGGTGATAGTGATGATGATGATGATGATGTTGATGACGGCCATGATGTTTCTAGTTCAAGAGGCCTTCTCGAACGCAAACACCTTGAATGACCTGAGGTCGGAGCTGTGTGCACCTGGCGCACGGCTGGGATCTTTTTACAAAGACTTGGCTGTTCAGAGCGGACACGATGCGGATGTGGAGCAGTTCGGTACTAGTGGAGTCAGGAGAACATCATTGTTGGAACATGCGCTTCCAAATCTACAGATTCTGGCTGAGTTGTGCGAAGCTGAGTTGAACAGGCTCCCCAACCGGAGCTTGCCACTCTAGAACCGTTGATCGCAGCCCGCTTCAATCACCGAGTTGCTCCAATTCTCATTTTTCCATAAATGGAATGAATTTTACAATAGCATTACAAATACGAACGCAACGAAATACAATGAATCCGTTTCAAACGAGGCCTTGTACCAGGAGCCAGCGTGGACGGGCCGCTTCACACCAGGATGCCCTGTTGGGCCTGGGTAGCTGCGCAAAGCTGCGTAGCTTTCTTTGTCTTTCAATCAACGCAAAATAGCGATGGCCTCCAACATAATAGCAAAAGGAATCTATAATAGCAATGGCCTCCAACCTACTAGCGATGGCCTCCAAAGTAAAAGAGGAATGTAAAAAAGGAAACACTTTGCACAAGACTTGACAGTGCTTCAGTTCGTGTGTCCATCGAACCCTGCAACTGCAAATACGCGCAAGAAGGTCCCTGTCTGGACAACCGCAGCTGGCTTGTTTCTGCCCCAAACCAAGAAGATCTAACGTAGATTCAACGCAGTCTGTCTCTTCCGATGCACCAGCTGGGGCGCAAGCTGCGTGCATCTACCGCAACCAGTACTTACTTCTGCACTATCCAAGTTATCTGTCAGCAAAACGTTAAGCAGCAAGCTGATGGAGAGGAAAAGAACATGGAAGCAAAGGCATGCCAGGCACGCTTGCTGCACAATGCCCACATTCCCAGAGCCACGTCTCGTTGCGTTTCACAATGCCCACGCCCCGTTTTCTCTCTCAAAGCGAAGGCTGCGCCGGAAACCGCGGCAGATGATGTGGGAGTGTTGGGCCCCAACACGTTCGTCAACCGAAGACGTTCGAACACGCCTGCTCACAGCCATGTTCGGCCTCACAGTGGTCGCCATTGCAAGTGCTGGAGCAAGAGGTGCATTGGTTCGCCCAGCCACCTCCGAAAGGACCTGTCACCTGGCGACAGAAATGACGAGGCACCCTCTGGTCTAACAAGGTCTCTGACCTCGCAGATGATTTGACTATACACCCTGATCTAGTGGCTTCAAATCACGGGGACTTTCAACTCACTCTTGGGAAATCCATGGAAATCCAGCAAATCCCTTCAAAATGCCCACCTGCATCCAAACGGTTTCTACCTTTTTGCACCCAACGTCTTTTTGACCCACGCCCGCCTCATTAAAGCAACCGGTCATTCCTTTGCAACTCTCCACGCATGCGGCTTTGGTCGCTGAAGTCAGGGCAAGCTCACAGCCGATTTGGCAACTTGGCCGTTCACACCCGCTGTCCCGACCACAGCAGAAACCATCCTGGCAGCGGAAACCAAACCACTGCAGTGGCATGCGCGCGCAGTCTGCGGGGTATTTTGGGTCTGGACTTTTGGGTGTCACTTGGACCAGACCAGGAATGTCTGTTTTTCACTGGGAGAACACTGAATTTGAGAAGGGAATCGGAAACCTGCTGACCAAGTTCACTAACTATTTTCAAGTGCGGTGATCACCCAAACATCAGCTTGGGGTAAAGCAACGAAAGCAAACCGCAAAACCACTCAGAGTTGGTAAAACGACCTACCAATAACTCATTGGCGAACCCCCGAAGGTCAAAACTGCGCAAGAATTGCTGATGAACAATGTCGTCTTAGCGTCTGCTGCACACTTCATCTTGCAAATTTGGAGGGGGCCAGGTGGAGTGGTGGTCGTTGTGGTAGGCGGAGCCGGCAAACCAAGGGAATGACAGGCGTGTTCACATCCGCCCGGAGGCTCGCAATGCTGCCCATCGCACGTCTCCGCGCACGAGGTGCACAAGTTGGATTGGCCCCAGGCAACGTTCCACTGAAAGCATTCGGTCATCGTCTGGCGTTTCTCAATGCAGGACCAAACCTTAGACAACAAAAAGAGATAACCTTAAACACTTATATCCCCGATGAAAAAAGAGGTTGATTTAAAACGACGAAGAGGGATGGGCGCTTAAACCGTCTCCTTCCCGACTGTCAGGTGAGGGTCTCCCGATTCTGTGTCAACCCATTTCCTTCTTCTCAGCGCCCTCCTCCGATTATTTCAGCTCTGATCATCAACTCCGTCGAACCACCCCTCCCAGGTATATGTGAAAATCCCTACTCACCCCCTGTATACTCAGTTTGGCAGCCCCCTGAACTGCGCGGGACCACACCCATTTTTATTTGCATTCGCCCAGGAAAAACACCCATGGCCTTCGCCTGAATCTATGCCACTGCATGTGTCGACTAGAACCATGTCAAGTCACAAGCTTTACCACATATAGTGGTCCCTAATTATAGAGAAAGATCCGGTTTCCATACAGTGGGTCTATTACAACACCGCCTCAGGACGAAAGTGGTGCTGTAACCTGCCACCAAGGAACAGTTTCTTCATACAGCCCCACCTCACAACCTTGATGGCAGCTGGGGAGTGCACAACCACTATTTGTTCCGCAGCAAAAGCCTGCCAGCTGAAACGCTGATTTTGCATCCAAAAAGTAGCTCGTTCCAAACATTCACCGCGCATGCAAGCTCTATTAGATCACAGTGGGTTGGGGAAGTATGGTGGTAAGACACTTCACAAGACTTGATTCATGGCATCATCAGGTCTGTTTTTTTTGCAACCGTCTATATATTCAGTACATTGTAGCATCATCGCAGTATCATTCACTGTCCCATTCAATGAAAACTGATCCGCCTGCTGCAGTACAGGATGCCTTGCAACTGGCCGACGGGCTCATGGTTGTGACCGTTGTGGTGGTGATGATTTCATAGCTCTGCCTCACAAATGTGTCCTTCACATCGCCTGGCGTCCAAGGCCGGCTCATCCCCAAAGAAACTGCGCTTTTTGATGCAAAGAAACAC